AAAGGAAATGGAATATAAAAATAGTGAGGTCTTGTTAAAATTATACAAAGCACTAGTCAAACTACAGTTGGAATATTGGATCACTTTTGGTTCTAACAAAAGGTATGTTCTGGCTATGGAGGGATTTTCGTTATGTTGTGAGTTTGAGTATGTTGGGCTACACTCGTTGGAATTTAGAAGAATGAAAGGCAACCTTATTGGAAAACACAAGATTCTTAGGGGTTTTGACAGGTCAGACAAGGAGAGGTTGTTTCCCCTGTGTGAGATCTAGGACCAGAGGCCATAATCTCAGTTGAGGAACCTTTTTTTTTCACGCAAAGCCTATTGAATATGTGGCATTCTTTACTGCAGAAGACTACAGAGACTGGGTCATTAAGTATATTTAATACAGAGAGAGAGTCATTCTTGATCAGTAAGGAAATCAAGGCTTGTGGGGATAAGACAGAAAATTGGAGTTGAAGAATATCAGATCAGCAAAGATCTCATTGACTGGCAGAGCAGACTTCATAAGCTGAATCGTCTATTTCTGCACCTATGTCTTATGTACTATTGACATGGCCTACCCCTACTGTTTTTTTTATGTTACCTGTACTTTGCCCTGAGTTATTTCAGTACGAATGGGTTTACTGATACCTGTCAGAATCTTCAGTGTATGGTGCGCAACTGCAAAAGTATTGGTTGTACGTTCATGCGTATATCATGTTTAGGGTTTATCATCCCTATTTGACATTTTCTGTGATCAATTAGTTCTTCAGAAACTGATCAAGAAGCATATTTCAGAAGCTGCATTAGAAAATTTGCTAGCTAATTTATATCCTGTTCCATATTAAAAATTAAAGTACAGGGGCAATAAAGCACTGGGATACATGTCGAAATGCTATAGCTGGATTCCTGGTCCCGCACTGTTACAAGCATGAGTGCAGGTTGATGGCCTTGCTTATTTTGGGAACTCAAAATACATGTAATCATTAAAGTGCAACTGGGGCCATCCAAATCCCTGTATTTGTACCAGTCTAAGCTGATAAATCATTAATACAATACTCTGGACCTGTCTCTTCCATGTGCTGTTACTAAGTCTACCACAGAGTGTTGAATTGATTTTGAGATCCAGTTGTCAGCTGTGTCAACTTGAAGCCACCTTGACCCAAAGGTGACCCTGCTTATCTTCTCTTCTCCGATGATTCCCCAACTCCCACAAAATTAGTCAGCAGAAATACATTGAGGCTACCTGGTAAACACTATACAACCTTAGAATACTAGGTGAACTCTAACATGAAGTTAATGGAATAACAGTGTTAATTTCACATTTCAATGTTGAAGCTGGAATTCTTCTTATAGTTTGCTTCCTTTATAATTCATAGAGATTTAGCAGTTAAATATCTGCAGAATTTGTTTTTTTTAAACTTTCTCTCATGAGTATTCTGTTCTTTGAAAGTACAGACTTCAATATGATAAATGCCCCACATTTTGTCAGCAATCATTAGTTGTTAAGAAGTGTTTCATTATTCTTCTCTGTTTGATTGTTTGAAAAAAGTTAACTTTAGCAGTCAAAACCAGTGCCTGAATAGCATCACTTTTGCATTTGAATTGACATTTAAAATAGCTCTTGACTGTTTCCTGCCTCCAGGTTTCCCTTTTGATCTTTGTTTTCCATTGAGTCATTTAAGCTGTCTGATCAAGTCACAACAAATATTGGCAATTAGTGCAGACTTTTTCAGTTCCTGCACTTCAATACATTTGCTTCTACCAGACAAGAGAAGTTGAAAAAAAATTATTGCTTTGATTAATAGTATCTTGGCTTCTCTGACTTCCCTCTTAACACAATGACATCCTAACTTATATTAATAGTGAAGGGAAATAAAATGAAAATTTAAATCGATTGCTGTCTTAATAACATCCTGTAGAATATGAAAAATTGATTTCTGCCTACAGACTGTTAAAAGTTCTTAACTTCTTTTTGTAAGAAGGTGCTCCAGAAAAACAACAGGAAACAGATGGTCTCTTTTGAATGTTTAATTTGGTTCTAGAGAAGACAGGCCAAAAAGAGAATTTTCAACCAACAGGAAAGCACAACTTAGATGTGAAGAAAATATACCTTTTGTACAATTGCAGTCAACTCTCCAGCTTTTTGGAACATCTAACAATTTTTTTCAAAATTATATAAAGCCAGGTGTATGCTAATTTAAAGACCTGAGCAATTGTTTTTCATGGGATGGGATAATCCTACGCATGAGGAACGTGCACAAAACCTTTGATATAAGTGTCTTTAAAGAGGAATTTAGTTGTCAATATCTGACTTAGGTGAGTTTTCCTACCCAACATGGTGCCTTTGTCTTCTTAAATGGTTAATGAACTTGTGAATTTTCAGAACTATTGTTTCAGAATGAGTAGATAGCTGGCTGTTTTTATTTTGCCCTACCATTCCCTCACATGCTATTTCTTTCTTCCCTTCGCTTTCTCTCACTCTTTTATCCTGCTCCCTCCATTCCTTTGTTCCCACATTTCTCCATGTTCCCTATCTTCCTTATTGCTTCCTACCAATCAATGTTTCCTTTTCCATTCCTTCTGTTCCCTTTTTGTTTATCTCTTTCTCACTCAATTTTTTTCTCTTTTCTTACTTCTTTTCTTCCTCTATGTTTCTTTCTCTTTCCTTTGCCCTTCTATTTCAATTTTTTTTGGTATAAAGCAATTCCTTAAACAATTAAAAAATAAAATGTTCAAATGTCGCAGGCTAATTTTTATTCTTACGGCTTTTTGATAAAGGCACTTTCTGGTGCAGAATAAAGCTATATAGATCCCAAGTTTCCAAGTTAGAATCTCACTCTTCACTGAGTAATGGGTGAAAATCTTTTGACTGGTTTCTGTACTCTTAAACAAAGGAGGGAAAAATCAACTTTGGCTCCTATTCCAGCTCACCACTAGGCAACCACTTCTAGTAGAGACATGGTAGATTGGAATGAGGCACAGATCAAGTGGCTGTGCAATCCCCTTACTGTGAAAGCTGACCCACAATCAACCTCTAGATTCCTGCATGTCAATGGCTACTTGAGAAAACTACTGAGATGACATCCAATGATGTGAATAATTGTACACAGCATTTTCTTTACATTTTAAATACCACAAAAGATCAGACAGACCAGATGGCATTGTACAGAAATAGAAAGAATTGCTTTCATGCAAAACCTTTTACAATCTCAATACCTTAAGCATTGTATAGCTAAAGTTGACCGACTATCTTCATTCATTGTCCTGGTGGTCTGGGCATCTGACTGTCTCAGTAATGATTGTTTGCTCCCTTGCTTGTCTCCTCTGCAGTGAACAGCATCTTTTGTGGCTGTAAAGGCCAATTCATGATTGGCAGCCCCTTCTGTATGTAGTACAGATAAACGAATTGGCACAATCTTAACTGATTTTGTTATACTACTTCCGGTGGTTTTTCTGCTGTTGTGTAATTTATTTTTTCTTCTGTTTTTCTTTCCATGTCCTTCCTGATTAATTGCCTCTAGGCACTGTGATCAGCAGTGAGGACACCCTATGCACTAACTCTGATTCTGGTCGGGTAGAGGTCTTACAGGCAGCCTTGAATCACAGACATGTCTTGCTCTTGTGCTGACAGCTAGTTTGCCATAGGGCATGTATGAAGGTTTGGTAGATAAACGGGAGGCTGAAGAAACACAGCAAGCTAGGCAGCATCTGGAGAAAAGGAGAAGTCAACACTCCGGGTATTCTTCAGGACTGGATGTGGTGGTAGGGGGAGCTGCAGATAAAGAGGCGGGGTGGGGTAGCAGAATGGTGGTAATAGGTGGACACCGGTAGTAGGTACGACTTGTTTGGTTAATGGGAGGGATGAACCCGGTTGGTAGTTGGAAGGGAGGGTCAGTAGGTGGAATGGAAGGGAGGAGGTGGGGCTGGAAAGAGAGGTGAGGAATGGGTGAGAAGGACTTTTGAAATTAGGGAACTCAATGTTTAGTCCTCTGGGCTGTGAGGTGCCCAGGCGGAAGAGAAGGTGTTGTTCCTCAAATTTGCATTCCGCATCGCTCTGACACTGGAGGAGACCGAGGATGGACGTTTCAGTGAGGGAGTGGGGGCGGGGGCGGGGGTTGGGGGGGTGGGGGTGCTAGCGGTGGTGGTGGTGGAGGAGTTGAAATGGGCGGTGACCGGGAGGATAGGTTGGCCATTACAGGCCAGGCAGAGATGCTCGGTGAAACGGTCACCTCGTCTATGTTTGGTCTCACTGACGTAGAGAAGACCAAATCGGGAGCACTGTATGCAATAGACTAGGTTGGAGGAGATGCAGGTGAAGTTCTGTCTCACCTGGAAGGAGTGTTTAGGGCCCTGCATGGAGGTGAGGAAGATGGTGTGTGGGTAGGTGTTGCACCTTTTACAGTTACAGGGGAAGGTACTTGGCAGGTTAGAATGGTTGGTGGGGAGTATGGTGCGAACTAAGGACTGGCGAAGGGAATGATCCTTGCAGAAGGCAGAGAGGAGTGGGGAGTGGAAGATGTTCCGGGTGGTGGGGCCTAATTGGTGTCAGCGGAAGTGTTTGAGGATGATGGCTGCGGAGACTGGTGGAGTGGAAAGTGAGGACAAGGGGTCCCTACCTTTATTACGTTTGTGGGGGTATGGTAGTTTAGAGCTGTGGAGTAGGAAATGGATGAGGGGTGGTGGAGGGCTGTCTGGATAACAAAGTGGGGAAAAGAACATTGTTTGAAAAAGGAGGACATCCGGGATGCTTGGGAGTAGAACGTTTTCTCGTCAGAGCAGATGCGACAGAGACAGAGGAATTGGGAAAATGGGATGGAGTTTTTGCAGGATACATGATGGGAGGAGATGTATTCTAGGTAGCTATGGGAGTGTGTGGGTTTATAGTAGATGTTGATCCGTAAACTGTCGCTAGAAATGGAAACAGAGAGGTCAAGAAAGGGGAAGGAAGTGTCTGAGATAGATCAAGTGAATTTGAGGGCGTGGTGGAAGTTGTTAGTGAAGTAGATGAACTGCTCCAGTTCAACCTGGGTGCAGAATGTAACACTGATGCAGTAATCAATGTAACAGTGGAAGAATTGGGGAACAGTACTGGTGTACATATGGAAGAGGGACTGTTCGACATAATCAACAAAGAGGTAGGCGTAGCTGGGGCCCATGTGAGTGCCCATGGTAACCCCCTGGATTTGCAGAAAGTGGGAAGAATTGAAGGAAAAGTTATTGAGGGTGAGGACTATATTGATGACCGTTACCCCATTCCCTCACTCTCTTTATCTGCAGCTACCCCTGCCCCCACATCCAGTCCTGAAGAAGGGTAATACCGGAAACATTGAGGTTTCCTTTCCTCCAGATGCTACTTGGCTTGCTGTGTTCTTCCAGGCCTCCTGTTTTGTCTACCTTGGATTCCAGAATTTGCAGGGTTTTTTGTCTCTAAAAATGTATGGAAGTTTATTTGGAGAAGAGTTGTTTATCCAAATTCTCTACTTCTCTGGTAGTTTAATTGATCTGACTGTAGATGATGAACATCTTTCTAAGCTGTGCCAGTAATGCTGATCAGTTGGTTAGATTATTTTCTCACTATTCATCTTAAGCAATGCTGTAAGTTGCTGCAAGGATGAGTCAGTATAATGGGGCATCTTGGGCCTTACAGAATGCTGGGCCCAACAGTTCCAGCTTAACCAATGAGATTTAGGGATTGAGAAAAGAAGAATATAACAAAGAAGAAAATATGGTGAATTTGACCAAATAAGATACTGAAGCTAGAATGAAAATTTGGAAAGAAAGATCAGACTAAAGGAGACAGGGAAAAAGAGTTAAGGGGAATGCAAGATCCTCTTGTAAAAAAAAGCTTGCATTTTAATAAACTCCAGAAGCAATTTGTGACCTGTATGAGTGAAACTCTGGTTTCAACTGTTCCTTTTTCTGGGCCTCCAAGGCTGGGCAGCATTGCAGAAACATAAACTTCCTCATTAGGTATATGTGCTGTTAATTTTCAGTCCCAACCTTCTGCAGTGAGTTTCGTTGAGAATAAATGTAGAATTGCAACAATGTCTTGAAACTCATCAGGATATTGAGGGTGATTGCTGCCCAATATTGTGATTATAATTGTTAAGTAATTTCTGATAACTTTGAATTCTTGGGGTATCTCTTTTCTACTGCACTTTACAGTGGCTCACATCATAAAACTCGCCGTCAGTTTCACAACAATCCTGGTTTATTGATTTTCAAGTTTGAGAACACTTATACACCTTTAAATCAAGTTCCTTTTACCTAATGTAAGCATTGTTAAATCTCTCAACAGTAATTTGTTTCTAATGCTGTACCTAGTGTTTTTGAATATGTGGAACTTCTGCCCAGCTGATCTTATCTGGTAAGGAGAAGCAAACTGAGCAACAGAAGCAAGGTGACAGCAAATGTGTTGTGCAATATAGAAAAGTGTTCTGCTGTAAACCTTACGATGCTGATAGCAGGAGGTATGAGGATGGGAGATAGTAGGAACTGCAGATGCTGGAGAATCCGAGACAACAAGGTGCAGGGCTGGATGAACACAGCAGGCCAAGCAGCATCATAGGAGCAGAGCTTGGGCGTGGGTGCGTGGGTGGTGGGAGAAGTTTATTGACACATTTTACAACATCAGTTAGTTCACAGGAGACTATGATTCTTTCTGTTGTCTTCTTGAATTGAAGGAGAAAACATGGTCTGTGACTGAGGTTGGTGCCTGCTGATATATCACAGCAGCAATTGGAACTGAACATATAAGCTCACATAAAGGAAAAGCATGAGACCTCTGCAACAATGGCTCACCGCACTTTAACAGAAGGTAACTTAATTCTTTCATTTAAATTCTGCAGGCACCAACATCATAAAGTGAAATATATGTTACAATATGGAATGAAGAACTATCCTGTTTCCTTTTCCCTTTTAATCAAATCTTCTTTTAATTACTTACTAGATGTCTTGCATTTATTTTAACAATTTAAGTTGTCAACTTTGATGTATAAGGACAATTTCATTGTTCCTTTACAGAGGTGCAACACAATATGTGACATGACTGTATTAATGCAAAAACACCAGTTAATGGATAGGAAAACCTGAGGCAGGATTGTTCTGTATCCCAGTCCCTCTCCTGCCTCAGCTCTGTTCAGTTCATATTGGACTTTGCACTACCAAATTAAGTGAGTTTAACAATGGCTTTAGTTAATGAGTTCAGGAATGTCGGCACATTTTACATTTGACTAACTCCAATTAGCAGTTCAATGTTATAGTTTGTTGTGACATTGCTGCCAGTAACTGATGTAATGTAAATTATTGATGCATAATGATATGAAATGACAAAAGAAATAATACTTGCAATTTTATATATATCAGAGATAAAAAAAAGTACATTGTAACATTGTTTCAGAGATAGTAGGAACTGCAGATGCTGGAGAATCTGAGATAACAAGGTGTAGAGCTGGATGAACACAGCAGGCCAAGCAGCATCAGAGGAGCAGGAAAGCTGACGTTTCGGGCTTAGACCCTTCTTCAGAAATGGGGGAGGAGAAGGGGTTTCTGAAATAAATAGGGAGAGAAGGGGCCAGTGTAGCTACGGAAGAGGGAAGAGGGAACAATCCCTCTTCCGTAACTGCACTGGCCCTAAACCCCACCTCTTCCTCCGTTACATTGATGACTGTATTGGCGCCGCCTCGTGCTCCCACGAGGAGCTCGAACAGTTCATCCACTTCACCAACACCTTCCACCCCAACCTTAAGTTCACCTGGACCATTTCTAATAGTTGTCTCTCCTTCCTGGACCTCTCTGTTCCCATCTCTGGCAACCACCGAGAAACCGATATGCATTTCAAGCCCACCGACTCCCACAGCTACCTAGAATACACGTCTCCCCCCCAACCTCCAGCAAAAATGCCATCCCCTATTCCCAATTCCTTCGCCTCCGCCACATCTGCTCCCAGCATGAGGCATTCCACTCCCGTACATCTCAGATGTCCTTGCATCTCCCCCCCCTCAGTGGTCGAGAACGCCCTCGACCGTGTCTCCCGCATTTCCCGCAACTCATCCCTCACACCCCCTCCCCGCAATAACAACCAAAACAGAATCCCCGTCGTCCTCATGTACCACCCCACCAACCTCGGGATCCAACGCATCATCCTCCGACACTTCCGCCATCTGCAATCCGACCCCACCACCAAAGACATTTTTCCCTCCGCACCCTTATCTGCTTTCATGAGGGACCACTCTCTTGTGACTCCCTTGTCCGCTCCACACTCCCCTCCAGCCCCACCACACCCGGCACTTTTGCCTGCAACCGCAGGAAGTGCTACACCTGCCCCTACACCTCCCCTCTCACCCCATCCCAGGCCCCAAGAAGACTTTCCACATCAAGCAGATGTTCACCTGCACATCTGCTAATGTGGTATACTGCATCCGCTGTTCCCGGTGTGGCCTCCTCTACATCGGGGAAACCAAGCGAAGGCTTGGGGACCGCTTTGCAGAACACCTACGCTTGGTTCACACTAAACAACTGCATCTCCCAGTCATGAACCATTTCAACTCCCCCTCCCATTCCTCAGATGACATGTCCATCCTGGGCCTCCTGCAGTGCCACAACGATGCCACCCGAAGGTTGCAGGAACAGCAACTCATATTCCGCTTGGGAACCCTGCAGCCCAATGGTATCAATGTGGACTTCACAAGCTTCAAAATCTCCCCTCCCCCTACCGCATCCCAAAACCAGCCTAGCTTGTCCCTGCCTCCCTAACCTGTCCTTCCTCCCACCTATCCCCTCCTCCCACCTCAAGCCCCACCCCCATCTTCTACCTACTAACCTCATCCCACCCCCTTGACCTGTCCATCCTCCCTGGACTGACCTATCTCCTCCCTAACTCCCCACCTACACTCACCTTTACTGGCTCCATCCCCGCCTCTTTGACCTGTCTGTCTCCTCTCCACCTATCTTCTCCTCTATCCATCTTCTCTCTGCCTCCCCCTCTCTCCCTATTTATTTCAGAAACCCCTTCCCCTCCCCCATTTCTGAAGAAGGGTCTAGGCCCGAAACGTCAGCCTTCCTGCTCCTCTGATGCTGCTTGGCCTGCTGTGTTCATCCAGCTCTACACCTTGTTATCTTACTTTGTAACATTTTTGTTTTTCTGAAGTCAGTGAAATAAGCTGGTCCTGACTTCTCCAGCAGCATTAATGGTATCCTAGCTAAACACGGTGTCCTGATGAAGGGTCTAGGCTCGAAACATTGACTCTCCTGCTCCACTGATGCTGCCTGACCTGCTGTGTTCCTCCAGCTCCACACTGTCACGAATCTGACTCCAGCATTAGCAGTTCTTGCTATCTCTAATTTGTTCAACACTCTGTTTGTCATGTAACCCAATTAGAAACAAATTTAACTGTAATACGATATTAGCTCAATCACACTGTTTTCTTGTATCCCCACACATGGGTATTCTGAGAGCTTCAAATCAAATAGGAATTCCCTCATGACCCCCAACTGCACAATAGTACACCTGAAAATGAAGCTGCTGTGAGATTTTGAACAGGTTGAGGGTAAAATTACTGGCAGTGGCATTGGCCTCTTTCACTTTTCAGTCTGTTACAAGTTGTGCATCTGGTGGCAGCTTCCACAAGATTTGATATGTGGCTTATTTACGTCGACTGTACCAGAATCATCAAACTCTTTTGTCTTGAGTGAAGCAGAGTGCTGCCATGGCTACCAAATAGGATGTGCTATTTTGTGGACATCTGGAATACGCTGCCAGTGGTAGTAGAGTCAGATACTTTAGAGACTTTTAAGCAACTCTTGGATAGGCACGTGGAGGATAGTAAAATGTAGGGTAGTTTGATCTTAGTAGGATAGTAGGTCGGCACAACATCATGGGCCAAAGGACTTGTACTGTGCTGTACTGTTCTATGTTCTATGTTCTATTTCAGCAAGCCCCAGACACACGGCTGCTGTTTTGAGTTGATTATCTCTTACTGAATCCATCAATTTTCATATCTAAGAGCAACCTGATAAGCAGGTAGTCTGCAATGCTGATGTTACCAATACACAATGGCACATTGAAAATGCCCAACCTAGGCTTGAAAATGATTGTATTGATAGAGGCAAACAGACAAGACTACTTATTTGATGACAAAATGATCTTGAACAAGCCTAAGTTCACAGGAAATAAGAACCAAACAGTGGAGAAATAAAGGCTGCAATCGTTATACAAAGGGAGTATTTCTGTGCCAGCCATTGTAAGTGAGTTTGTGAACTCCAGTGAAGATCCCATTGACTGATGGCAGTGAAGCACAGCTTCACTTTTCTTGTAGTGCAACGATTTTCTTCTGGGCCTGTAAGGAGACCCCTTCATCTGCAGATTAATTTTCAAAGAAAGGAGGCTGTCAGAGGTTAAGGACAGGGATCAATCACACAATGCAATGAAGGTATATTCCCATGGGAATGCTTTAACAAGTATTAAAGCAGTTACCTCTGTTTTGCCTTTTGAAATGTCTGCTGACAAGCTGGAGGATTTGTTTTAACTTAAAATGCAATGAAATCTACTATTTCAAGTAAGATGGGTATATATAGATAGATGTAGATATAAGCATTGTGGTTCTAGTTCTTTGGTACCTTTCTTCATAAGTAAATTCCTGGCTGAAATGTCTAATTGTTAGAGTGCCTGTTTAAGGCTAGATACTTTTTGATGTGATTAAAGGCCTGCCTTGTTGATATTGCTGGTCCAATGCCTGTAAAAGAGTATCTATCACTGTATTGCTTGCAATAAGTGGGCAATATTAATTCCAGCAGAAATCAGATCACACATGTCTGACATGAAACACGCTAACTTATATCTATGTGAGTGGATTTCATGTGCACTGAAAGTTTGCAGAGCAAACAGGTCATGATGTCAATCACCAGCAATGTAGCTGATTTGATACCAGTGTTGCCATTATAGCCCATGCCAATTTCCCTCTAAGATGCCTGGGCATGCAGCCACTTAGCAATCTGGAATGTACAATGCGGGGAACAAACTGGCTAGCATAACTAATGTTACAATCTTAAAGTGCAATAAATAGGTCATGCATGCAAAGTGAAATTGTAGGGAATAGTGCTTTATGCTTAAATCAATGTCTACACTTAACCTCAACCAGCCAAACAAATTACCATGCATTATCATGAAGTAGATAGATTGAGGAAGTTGGGACTCTTCTCCTTAGTAAGAAGAAGATTGAGAGGACACTTGATAGAAGTTTTCAAAATCATGAGTGGGCTGAATAGGGTAGATAGGGAGAGGCTGTTCCTGGTCTTAACAGAACAAGAATAAGAGGCATCGATTTGAAGTGATGTGCAAATGAAGTACAAATGAAGTGATGTACGAAAAATGTTTTTTGCTGAGTGAGTAGTTAGGGTATGGAATGCATTGGCTGGAAGTGTGGTGGAGGCTGCTTCAAGGGGGGCAATCAAGAGGACCATTGGCTGAGTATTTGAATAAAAATAAGGTGCAAGAGCATGGAGAAAAAGCAGGACATTGGCATTAGTTAATAATGCTTATTTGAAGAACAGGTGCAGGTATGATGGGCTGAATGGTCTTAACAATCCTATTATTTGTGATCAGAAGAGCTCTTTCCCCATCAGCGTGATTAAGAGAAATCATTAACTACTTACAATATTACTTACTTGTAACCTCTGGCTGTTGTTATAGTTCAACGCATGTCCATACTTCCCAACACATGTCCATACTTCCCAACACATGTCCATACTTCCCAACACATGTCCATACTTCCCAACACATGTCCATGCACTTAGGGTGTTGCTGGCCATAATTGTTTC